GCTTTCATAAGCAAACAAGCATCCCTTGAGGCTGAGTGGATAGGAACTCTTCTAGAGTTTCTTTGGCTTCACTAATAGGCAGCCTTTATACACAGTGGCTGAAGGAAACCATCTTACACAAAGAGATGAGCAATGGTGGAAAGGGAAGGTCAGGCTTTCCTGAAAGTTCCCAAGACACTAAACGCTGAAAACATGGCAGGCTTCTTTGGCTGTGCCGTCTGCATCTTTGACTTCCTGTTGAAGCTTGCTCCTGTGGTTGCACAAAAAGTAGATGATGCCTTTTTTTTCTGGAGGAAAGATTTAATGATTTACAAGCAGCATCATTAGTCTCCTGGATGGCGATTATAGAAGAGAAAAAAATAAAAACCTCTACTTTGCTTAGCTGGCTTTCTCCATGGCAATTACTTGCCTCAAACAGAGGCTAGGCTGGATCTCCTTGTTTAATGAGAGGTGCCAGAGTGACAAGACAGCCTATTTCAGATGAGAAAAGGCTTTCTAAGGATCCAGGAGAAAATGACCATGAACATCTTAACCTCTCAGTCCTGTTGGTTGTGACTTCAGAGTCTGTGTAAGCAGGAGTTGGATCCTCCCAGTGCAATGGCCCCATCTCAGGTCTGCTGGCCCCACCTGGTGTTCACTCACCAGTCAGTCACAAGTCTGCTTGAAAAGTAGGGTTCTCCAAATACAGATTTTGGTTCTTCCTTTTTTTTTTTTTTTAAAAAAAAAAGAACTTTAAATGTGGATTTATTGTTTGTTGTTGTTATGTGCTGTTGAGTCAGACCTGACTCATAGCGACCCCTCCTTGGGTTTCCGAGGCAGTATCACTACGGAAGTAGATTTAGGTAACGACAATCCATGTGTTGCAGTTCAACTGTATTCTTAAACTAAAAGAACTAGAAGTTCTTAATACCTATAGTTCATCTACTTGTATGTTGGCTGACTTAATGGTTTAGAATAATAAACCAATTCCTGTCAAGTTGACTCCAAGTTGTGGCAACCCCTTTGTGTCAGAATAGAACTAACACATTTGATTTTCTCAATGGCTTATTTTTCAGATGTAGATCACCAGCCCTTTCTTCTGAGGTGCCTCTGGGTGAACTTGAACCTCTAGTCTTTCAATTAGCAACTGTGGTAGTTAAAGTTGTATGTCAACTTGGCTGGACCTGGTTGAGTGGCTGGGCAGTTAGTGGTTATTCCCCATGATGAGACTGGCAGCAATCTGCTCCATGGTGGGACATACCACAAGCAGCTAAGTAGCTGCTTTAGAGATGTGGTCTGGTTCTCACATTTAAGAAACAGCTTTGGAAATGGTCTCTAGCTTATGGCACGCTTGGACCCTGCATGTAGCCATGTCATTGTTCAGCAGCCTGCCACACTCCCCCTAGCTGGGAACTTTCAATGGACTTAAATTAATGGCCTGCTGTGTGGTTTGGTAACATCTGGACTGTGCCTTTTTGCTTGTCAACCTTGGGTTTATCAGCTTCAGCAGCCAGTAGCTGTCTGAGTGAAGAAATGCCTCTAGCTTCAGTGGGCTGGGAGCAGGAGGCAGAGCTGGACCCCAAGGTTGAGGGGCTTTCACCCAGCCCCTGAGCCTGGCACTTTGAACTTGGACTTAAAGTCTCCAAATTGTAAGAATAAACTCCCGTTTGTTAAGGGCATCCCGTTTGTGGTATATATTCTTGTCAGAGTGGCACTAGGTAACCAGAACAGCAACTGACCATGTTAACTGTTTGCACCACCCAGGTACTTTGAATAGTATAAATTATATTTATCCAGTCATCTTCAAAAACAAAAGCAAGAGGGATGAATGGGGCTTAGCTATAGAGAATTTTCAGAGAGTGAGGTTTGTGGCACAATGACTTCACTGTAAGGGTCTTTGTAAAATATCTATAGGACATATTTTAAGGAAGAGGCTCAATTGGCTACCTAGGTTTCCTTTCTGGATACCACTTTGCCCACCAAGAAAGAAGTGGGGCTGATTCAGTGCTTTCTAAATGCTAAGGTACCACCTTCACACTTTTTACTATGTCTGAGTATAATACCTATGGGACTATTTACTCACGATTTTCCTTTCAGTGGATTCATTTCTTTTAACTTTAGGCTCATCTTAAGCAATGATATTGTATCAGCAAAATTACAGGCCGATGTGCTACTGATAGTGTATTGTGTGTCCATTAAAACACATGACTATTAATATAAAATAACGTTCACTCCAGTACCACCTGAAGCAATCCCGTTTACCACTATTGGGACATATTTAACACTTGTGCAAATGCTGGACTGGGTGTTTATGCAGGTCCTTTTCAGTCCTATAGTTATATGCTAGTGCTGGTCGTCGTTCTATGAGTCACATTTACACTCAGCTATGATTTAGGTGTCACACCCCTATTTATGGGAGCTCTGGTAGTGTAGTGCCTGAGGCACTTGACTGCTAACCAGAAGGCTGGCGGTTCAAACCCACCAGACACTCCTCAGAAGGAAGATGGGGCAATCTACTTCCGTAGTAATACAGCCTCGGAAACCCAAGGAGGGGTCGCTATGAGTCAGGTCTGACTCGACGGCACATAACAACAACAACAACAACAACAACAACCCCTATTTATAAAGGTGAGGAAAACACATTTTAATCAAGGTTGAACAGATCTGTGTTGTCAATTCAGAAAGCCAGTGTGCACTCACTGTCTTTCTGTGACCTGCCAGCTCTGCAGACCTGTGTCTGGATGGCTTGGTGATTAGTCTCCATGGTTGACCTGGGCCGACTTCGGAATCACTGGCTCATCCTTTGCTGGGTGGAAAGGCATTGCTTGATGATCTCTGAAGTCGGTTTTATTTCCCGACTAACTCATTTGGATCATAGCCCAGAGGCTGGCTTTTATTACCTGTGATCTCACCCAGGGTTGTCAGCAGTTTTTAAGCCAATAAAGTCCGTTCCCTTGGTCCCCATTCCACAAGTCATCATAAGAGAATGATCTTTTACCTGCATCTGTGTTTTTCAGCTGGAGTGCAGTTTGGCAAACTGTCTCGTTTCTATTTTAGACTATCAGAATTACATAGGCATATTTAACTTAGATTTGTGACATTTAATAAACAGAACAAATCGTTTAGTTAAATTTTGTCATTGTTTACCACAATCCAGATTAAGAATTTATGTCTAGCCCTTTATAATATGAATTTTAATGCATGTTCTGTGCGGTGGCAGTCTTCCTGCTGCACTGGCCCAAACGTTTACTCAGTAAATATTTATTGAGTGCCTCCTCTGTGCCAACCACTGCACTAGACACTATGTGTAGCTTCCTTACATATTCCAAAGTGCCCGCCACTGAAAGCTCTGGAGTCCCAGACTGTGAGAACTTTCCGATAAAGGCAATGTAATGGCAGCCTTACTGCTACATGGCTTAGAATGGTGCTGGCCCAGATAGATGCTTGGTAAATATTAGTGTTCCTCTCCTTCATTCCATTCAGGAGGCAACCTAGACTGGACCTCCATAACCAGTTCCTTTTTAGACTCTTCCTACTGATGTCTCCTGACCCAGAGGAGAGAGATAGGCAGTAGAGTCCTGCAAGGCAAAGGTGGAGTGAGTGTTCCAGGTTCCTAGAAACATCTCACAACCCTGCATTGGCCACAGAGCGTGAGCATAGAGTGGGCATACTCTTAGGCTGGTCAGTAGCCAAAGGAGCATTTGTTAGACTTTACTGCACAAAACTCTTGAAAATGTGTTCACAACCCTTAGCCTGAAAAACTCCGGGCTTCTGCCATAACTTCGAGTTGTACGGAAGTTCCACGTCCACCCACTTCTGTGAGAAGACCTTCCACTTGTCCTAATCAAATCTAGTCCCAGCAGTTAACACACTTGGCTATTAACTGAAATGTTGCTGGTTTGCTCAGAGGCCCCTCAGAAGAAAGGCCTGGTGCTCTACTTCCCAAAATTCAGCTGTTAAAAACCCTGTGGAGCACAGTTCTACTCTTCCACAGGAGGTCTCCGTGAGTCAGAGTCTATCTGGTAGCAACTGTTTTATTATTGTTGTTGTTGTTATTAATTCATAGGTGAAGAAGACATCTGGATCTTTTGACCCTAAATGCATTTGCCTAGAGCCAAACTTGGAACACTCTTGGTTTTTGTTACTCTATTCCATTTTTTTTGGGAATGTCAGATCTGTTTTGATTGTGTCTAATATACCCACCAGCCACTCCTTGGAAGGAAGATGGGGCAATCTACTTCTGTAGTGATACTGCCTTGGAAACCCAAGGAGGGGGTTACTATGAGTCAGGTCCAACTCGACAGCACATAATAACGACAACAATATACCAATATATGGTACATTGTGTCTAATATACTAGAGCTCGGAAGGAAGATTGGGCAATCTACTTCTATGGTGATACTGCCTTGGAAACCCAAGGAGGGGTCAGATCTGACTTGATTACAGTGAGTTTTTAGTTTTTTTTCTGGTAGTATAGTGCCTAAGGCATCTGACTGCTACCAGAAGATTGGTGGTTCAAACCCACCAGCCACTCTGTGGAAGCAAGACTGGGCAATCTACTTCCATAAAGATTTACTGCCTCAGAAACCCAATGGGGGTTGACTATGAGTCGATGGCAGTAGGTTAGGTTTTGTTTAACATACCAATGATTATTGGAACTACATTGACATGATCTTTTTTGGAGTTAGGGAACACTGAGGAGTAGGAATTACTAGGATGTTTTCCTTCCTCTGGAATTCCTATGGACATTTTCCTTAAAAGTAACAAAGTGAAGCAAGCCATTTGGCTACAGGTGTGGCTTGTAGGCTGAGTTCAACAGGCTGAAAATCTGCACTTTAAAGTACAGAAAGTCCTGATGGAAATTTTTGGAAATTATGTCATGGGGTTCATTTCTCCTCATCTCCCTTCCCCACAGAGAGTGGTCACTGTGCTGCCAGGGAATGGTTTGCCAAGATTGAGCCCCAAGTGGTCCCTTGAACTGCTCTCTGATCTCTGCCTCTCTACACTGCTTTCTTGCTTAGCAAAAACGGTTACCACCGAAGAGTGCCTGGTGAATCCTGCCGGCATGAACCGCTACAATGTGGACTCCTCCACCTCCGCCTTTAACCACAGGGGCTCCTTGCACTCCTCCTCCTCGCTGTACTGCAAGAGGCAGAACTCTGGAGACAGTCGCCTTGGGGGAGGCCCCATCACCATCACCAGTGGTGTCCGCACAAGCCTCTTGTCCTCTGGAGGCCCCTCGGCAACTGGGCTGAGGCCCCCAGCCTCCAGTCCCAACAGAAATGGGACCTCTCTTGAAGGAAACAGATGTGGTAATGTAATGCACGCATTGTCTTCCCCATGCCTCAGCCACCTCTGCCCTTGCCCTGGGACCACTGCATCTAGAGGGGTGGATGACTGTGTACCTAGGACCAGTGGGGGGAAAGTGGACACTTCCACAAGCTTCTTTGTGGATTTTTGTTATTGTCCAAGTCTATCAGTCTCAGCCTTTGACTCGTAAACATACACAATGGTGTATTAGGGTAGGGTGTTGTTTTTATTGTTGTTATGTGCCGTCGAGTCAGACCCGACTCATAGCAACGCCTCCTTGGGTTTCCGAGGCAGTATCACTATGGAAATAGATTGCCCCATCTTCCTTCCGAGGAGTGGCTGATGGGATTAGGGATTAGGGATTAGGGATTAGGGTAGGGTAGGCTGTAGAAATAAGTAGACTCCAAACATATATTGGCTCAAATACAATAGAAATTTATTTTTTGTTCAAGGGTCCAAGTTCGATGTTCCTAATTGGTAGGTACATCTGTTTTGAGGGAACCAGTTCCATCCATTTCATTTCCCTGCTGTCTCCAATGGTTTCCCTGCCCTATGCATACTAAGGGAACAAGTGTGTGAAGAAGGTGTGCACATCACATTTCATTGGCAAGATGTGGTCATTTTGCTGCACGTATTAGGGAGGTGCCTAGATTTTGGTAGAGTTTTCCCTTGCATAGTAGAAGCCACTTGCTGGATGTAATACAAATCCCAATCCACAACTGGTGAGTTGATTCCTACTCTTAGTGTCCCCACAGAATTGTCCTACAGGGTTTCCAAGGCTGTAATCTTTGTGGAACCAGACTACCACATCTCAAACTGTCAACCTTTCAGTTAGCAGCTGAGTGCTTTAGCCATTGCACCATGAGGTCTCCTGGGCATAATAAAAATTAAGAAAAATTCCCATAATGCTGGTTATAATACCACCTCTATTTTTTCCACTAAAGAAAACTGTTGGAATGCAGTGCATGAAACTGCTATCATTATAGAGATAAATTGGAGTCCATTCCGGTTTATGCTTCTTAAAAGGCACTATCAAACTTCAGTATTTCAGTACAGTGGATGCTTGCATGGATTGTGGAGCCAGACTGCCTGGGCTGGAATCCTGAATCTCCCACTTCCTGACTCTGTGATCTTTGGGAAGTCTTATCTTCTCTGTGTCTCAGTTTCCTCACCTGTAAAATTGGAATAATAACATCTGCCTCATAGGATTGTTGGAAGGATTAAATAAGTTCATACATGTACAGTTGATTCTCATTATTCATGGCCGTTGTGTTCTATACAGTCTCTGAGAATTAGCAAATATAGAATCAGCCTGTGCAAACTCAGCTGGAAACATGTACGTCAATGACTCTAATTTTTTACTCTTAGCACATACACACACCTGCGATTGACTGCCAGAAAGCGCATGAGTATTTTTAGGTAGGCAAATTGGCAAATATCCAATTTGAGAATAGTGAAGATTGACTATATTTGGCACAGGGCCTGCTACATAGAAAGTACTTCATAAATGTTCAATAAAAGTAGTTAGATTAGTTACAGGTCACTTGAGCATAGCCCTCAACAGATCACAGCCCATCAACTCTGCCTTTGAAAAAGGAGACCCCAGGCCACTGAGTCAGGGAGTCTCCATCTTGCTCCTCTATGGCCTCCCAGTTGGCTGGCTGTGTCCTCTTTGGCAAGGCTCATTTCTGTTCTGAGCCTTGGATCCTTCCATCAGTGTCCCTGAGGAGCTGCACACATGAGATATTTTATATGAGCCAAGATCTTATATTCATACTTCTAAGACTCTCACTGCTCTCAAACTACCCTTGCCCAGACAAACTCCCATGGCTTGAGAGGGAGGCAGTTCTGAAAGGCAGGACACAGATTCTCAGCCATGCAGGTTCTTGCCTGCACATTGAGGCACATGGAAGACCACTTCCTGACATTGTTATGCAGAGCCATCTGACCTGGCCAAGGATTTGGATGGGCAAAGCCCATTGGCAGTTTTTCCATTTCATCTCTAAAACAAGGGGACAAAGCCTGGTACAAACCAACATCTTAAAGTAATTGAGAGTGGTGAAGTGGGTAAGGCATTTGGCTGCTAACCAAAAAGTCAGCAGTTCAAACCCACTAGCTGCTCTGTGGGAGGAAGATGGGACAATCTACTTCTGTAAAGATTCACAGCCTTAGAAACCCTATGGGGGTCACTATGAGTTGGAATCAACTCACTGGCTGAGGGTTTTGATTTATTTCATAGGTTCATCACCAGAGCTAGTATGACATCTGGGATGTAGTAAGTGTTTAATAAATGTTCATGTGTCTGATTCTTCATGGTGCCCAGTGCCTTCTCATCGCCTCCTGGTTGTCAACACCCCCATCCTGGTACCTCCCCACCTGATTTGACTTCTAAATGTCTCTTTTCTCTCAACCTCTTCTCTTCAACCCAATTCCCACATTCTCAGAGTGGTGATGGATCAGAGGACAACAGTCTGATTGAATTGACTCATGCTCCTAAGAATATGGCTTCCTTGGGTGGCGTAAATGGTACCAGCTAAAAGACATGAGGTTTGAACCCATGCAGAGGTGCCTAGGAAGACAAGCCTCATGATCTGTCACAGCCTTGAAAACCCTATGGAGCAGTTCTACCCTGTGCACATGGGATCACTGAGTCGGAATTCCATGGCCAACTCAATGGCAGCTAGTGACAACAGATCATCTTGAGTTGGGGAGGGAGTGAATATCTGCCATATGTAAAGGGCCAATACTTTCAGGTTGTTGTTGCTGTTAGCTGCTGTTGAGTTGGCCCCTGACTCATTGTGACTGCATGCACAATGATCTTTTGTGATCCATAGCATTTTCATTGACTGATGTCTGGGAGTGGATCACCAAGCTGTTCTTCCTCATCCTTCTTAGTTTGGAAGCTCTGCAGAAACCTGTTCAGCATCACAGCAACACATGAATCTCCACTGACAGATGGGTGGGGGCCGTGCCTGAGGTGCATTGTCTGGGAATCAAACCTGGGTCTCTCACACGGAAGGCAAGAATCCTCTCACTGGACCACCACCGTCCCTCAAGATTATCTGTGGTTGTTAGGTGCCATCGAGTTGTCTCCGACTCATAGCAACCCTGTGTACAGCAGAATGAAACACTTCCTGGTCCTGTGCCAACTCCACAATACTGCTATTCCTGAGTCCATCATTGTAGCTGCTGTGTCGATCCATCCTGTTGAGGGCCTTCCCCTCCTTCATCAACCTTCCACTTTACCAAGCATGATATCCCTCTCCAAGGAATGGTCCCTTCCTACAACATGACCAAAGTAGGTGAGATGAAGTCTAGCCATTCTCTCTTCCACAGAGCATCCTGGTTGCACTTATTCCAGGACAGATTTGTAAGTTCTTCTAGCAGTCCTTGGTACCTTCAGTATTCTTCACCAACACCACAACTCAAAAACATCAACTCTTCTTCCTCCCTATTCACCATCCAGCTCTCACATGCATATGAGGTGATTGAAAATACCATGGCTTGTCAGGCACACCTTGGTCCTCAAGGAGATATCTTTGCTCTTCAGCAGTTGAAAGAGGTCTTTTGCAACAGATTTGCCCAGTGCTATACATCATCTGATATCTTGACTGCTACTTCCATTGGTGTTGATTGTAGAGCCAAGTAATATGAAGTGTTGAATAACTTCAATCTTTCCTCCATTTATCGTGATACTGTTTACAGGACCTGTTGTGAGGCCTTTTGTTTTCTTTATATTGAAATGTAATCCATACATACTGCAGACTGTATTCTTCAATCTTCATCTGTAAGTGCTTCAAGTCATCCTCACTTTCAGCAAGCAAAGTTGTGTCGTCAGTGTATCGCAGGTTGTTAGTGATTCTTTCTCCAATATTGATGCCAAATTCTTCTTCATATAGTCCAGGTTCTCGGATTATTCCTGGTCCAATCAAGACACACTCCCTTCTTGATTTTAAACCATGCAGTGTCCCTTTGTGCTGTTTGGACAACAGCCTCCTGGTCTATGTACAGTTTCCTCATGAGAACAATTAAGTGTTCTGGAATTCCCATTCTTCTCAATGTTATCCAAAATTTGTTATGATCCACATAATCAAATGATTTTGTATAGTCAGTAAAACACAAGTAAACATCTTTCTGGTATTTGCTTTCAGCCAGGCTCTACCTGACATCAGCGATGATATCCCTCATTCCACATCCTCTTCTGAATCCAGCTTGCATTTCTGGAAGTTCTTTGTCAATATACTGCTGCAACAGTTTTTGAATTATCTTCAGTAAGATTTTACTTGCAAATGACATTAATGATATTGTTTGATAATTTCCACATTCTGTGTGATCACTTTTCTTTGGAATGGGTATAGATATGGATCTCTTCCAGTCACTTGGCCAGGTAGCTGTCTTCCAAATATCTTGACATAGCCAAGTGATTGCTTCCAGTGTGCTGTTTGTTGAAAGATCTCAATGGGTATTCCGTCAATTCCTAGAGCCTTGTTTTTCACCAATTCCTTCAGTGCAGCTTTGACTTCTTCCTTCAGTAGCATTAGTTCTTGATCATATGCCAACTCCTGAAATGGATAAACATTGACCAATTCTTTTTGGAACAGTAATTCTGTGTATTCCTTCCATCTTCTTTTGATGTTCCCTGCATCATTCAACATTTGGTCCATAAAGTCTTTCAGTATTGCAACTTAAGGCTTACATTTTTTCTTCAGTTCTTTCAGCTTGAGAAATGCCAAGTGTATTCTTTCCTTTTGGTTTTCTAACTTCAAGGCTTTGCACATTTCATTATAATAATTGACTTTGTCTTTTCAAGCTGTTCTTTATAATCTTCTGTTCAGCTCTTTTATTTTGTCATTTCTTCCATTTGCTTTAGCTACTTTTCACTCAAGGGCAAGTTTCAGAGTCTCTTCTGACATCTATTTTGGTCTTTTCTTCCTTTTCTGTCTTTTTAATGACGTTTTGCTTTCTTCATGGATGATGTTCTTGATGTCATCCCACAGTGCCT